TCTCTCTGAGTCCTTCTGGCTCTTGTGTCTGTTGACATGGGCTCAGGGTGGGAGCCTGGAGGCTGAGGAGGTGCCCGTGGCAGGTGGGGTGGGAGGGGACTGGTCTTCAGCCCTGCCCCCTGCCCCCGCAGGTGACCTTCTGTGACCCTGTCATTGAGAGAAGGCCCCGGCTGCAGAGGCAGAAGCGCATTTTCTCAAAACGCAGAGGTGTGGAGTGGAGAAGGCTGGCTAGTAGGGAGCAGGGCTGGGACCCTTAGGAGACCCCGGGACTGAGCCCCCTTTTGCCCCAGGTCAGGACTTCCTGAGAGCTTCCCAGATGAACCTCAGCATGGCGGCCTGGGGGCGCTTGGTCATGAGCCTACTGCCCCCCTGCAGCTCTCCAAGCACCATCAGCCCCCCGAAAGGGTGCTCCCACACCCCAGCCACACCCCGGGGGGCCGCCGACCCTGCCTCGCCCAGGTGAGGAGCCTCGCCCCAGGCTGCCTGCTTCTCTGTGGAGCCACCTCACTCCAGATGCAGACAGTGCCTGTCCCCGTTGCTCGCCCTCTGACCCGTCTCTCTGTCTCACGAGGCTGTGGGTCCACCCCCACCCCCCACCCCCACCCCCGCATTCCATCCGCCTGTGTCCGGTCGTGTGTCTGCTTCCTCCCCACAGTAATTTCCCGCCCAAGAAGACCCCCTTGCGAGAAGAGATCCAATCCCCACCCAAGCCACCGCGCCTCTACCTGCCCCAGGAGCCGACCCCTGAGGAGATGCCGGTGAGCGGCGGCAGGGCTGGTCATGCTGGGGGCTGTCTGGGTGGGGACGGCAGGGCTGGAGGGAAGAAGGAGAGGAAGCCCCCTCTGCCCTGAGCCCCTCTGCCCTCACAGAGCACCAAACGCCCCCACATGGAGCCCAGGACTCGACTCGAGCCATCTCTGCCAGCCTCAGCCACCAGGTACCCCTGGCAGGCTCACCTTGGCGTTTGAGAGAGACATCTGTCCACTCACTTGGGTGTTTGCATGTCAGGCGTTCTCACATCGCCCCGAGCTCTTGGCTTGCTCTCAGGTTCTCACTTGCGGAGCCCACGTTACTGAGCTCCACCTGCATGCCAGACCCCAGGAAATGGCAGTCCTAGGAGCTCCCACCCGGCCTCTCCAGCCCCTGCCCCTCTTGCCTCACAGGTGGGGACAGCCCAGGACCAGGCGTGGAGGGAGGGTTTGGAGCGGCCCTTGGCGGAGCCGAGCCCTTGTCCCAGGGGCTTCCTGTACCCTCTCTCTTGCAGGAAACCCCCCCGGCTTCAGGACTTCCGCTGCTTGGCCGTGCTAGGCCGGGGCCACTTCGGGAAGGTAGTGGGCTCATGAGGTGCAGTGGAGGGGGGTGGGCAGCCCCGACACACTCTAGCTAGGGGGACTCTGGGGTCTGTGGGGCAGTGGGTGGGGGAAGTAGACTCCTGTACTGCCCACTTGGAGCCCAGCCTCTCTCTGGTCCCCAGGTCCTCCTGGTCCAGTTCAAGGGGACAGGTCAATACTATGCCATCAAAGCGCTGAAGAAGCAAGAGGTGCTGAGCCGGGACGAAATAGAGAGGTGTGTGCTGAGGCCAGGGGGTTCCCGGCATCCGGGCACGTGGAGGGTACCCAGGATGGCAGGCCTGGGCTGGTGGCCCTGGAAGGCAGCTGAATGCTACTGGGGCTTGTAAGAGGTGACCCTGTGGGGCCAGCCAGGCCTGGGCTCTCTTGTTAGCAACTGCAGTTGTTAACTGTGTGCCCTTGGGCAGGTCCCCTCGTTTATGCACCTCAGTTTTCTCATCTGTGAAATGGGAACAGGGTGGTTGTACAGGTTCAAGACCTATGTGAGGGACTTCCCTGGTGGTCCAGTGGTTAAGACTCTGTGCTTCCACTGCAGGGGGTGCTGGTTCCATCCCTGGTCGGGGAACTGAGATCCCGCATGCCACACAGCGTGGCCAAAAAAAAAGACCTATGTGAGCTCCTGATACATATGAACCATCACTCTAGCTGCCTGGCTCTTTGACTTAAGAGCCAGTGACCCAGGGGTGTTGTGTGCATGACAGGGCATAGTCAGGGGAGGTTTTCATTCCCTTTTGGGTTCCCTCCTTCCCTCTAAAACCCACACCCTCCTCTTGCAGCCTGTACTGCGAGAAGCGAATCCTGGAGGCTGTGGGCCGCATGGGGCACCCCTTCCTACTCTCCCTCCTTGCCTGCTTCCACACCTCCAGCCACGCCTGCTTCGTGACTGAGTTTGTGCCCGGTGGCGACCTCATGATGCAGATCCATGAGGATGTCTTCCCTGAGCCCCAGGCCCGGTGGGTTCCCATCTCTGCTGTACGCCTCTTCCAGCAAGCCTTCCCTACTTCCCTGTACCTGGCGACGCCTTCATCCTGCTTCCTCCAGGGTGCCCATCAGCAGAAGAGCATGGAGTCAGGGAGGCCTTGGTTCAAATCCTGGTTATCAACCCTCACAGCGTTTGTGACCTCAGACCTCAGTTTATATAGCTGTGAATTGGGCTAATGATAACTATTTCATAGGCTTGTTGCATGGATAAACATAACATTTAGAAATTGATGAGCACAGGGACTGGTGAGCAGTAAGTAACCAATAGCTGGTGTTGTTATTTCTTGCCCAGCAGAGTGTGGGCTGTGGAGCCTGGATTCACATATCTGCTCAGCCACTAGCTGTGCGACCCTGGGTGGGTCATTTACTGGGAGTCTCAGATCCTCATTTGAAAAATAGGCATGACGGGTATCCACAGCAGGCTGCTGGGAGGATGCCAGGATCGGCGTGAGGATACTCGGTGTCATCCCTGGCACAATCTCAGAGCCCAGGAAGGGCAGGCTGTTCCACCCCTGCTACACATGAGGCTACTCCCAGTCTCTCACCCACACATGACTCTGGCAGGGATATCTGGGGTCCCCAGGCCATGGCCATCCTGGTGCCTCCCTGCCCTGTCCTCCACAGTCCTGGGCCTGAACTACCCGCTGCCCCAACCCTCCAGGTTCTATCTGGCCTGTGTGGTCCTGGGGCTGCAGTTCTTACATGAGCAGAAGATCATTTACAGGTAACTTGCCCCCGACATGCTGGGGGAGTGGGCGAGGGGGCAGATGCTACCCTCCTCCTGGGCTGTTCTAGGGTGGGGCCGCTGTTCCCTGGGCCTCAGCGCTTCTTAGCCTCTTTGATCTGCCCCGCCTTTGCCCTCAGAGACCTTAAGTTGGATAATCTTCTGCTGGATGCCCAGGGTTTCCTGAAGATCGCAGACTTTGGGCTCTGTAAGGAAGGTGGGTGCCTCCTGTCTAGGATCCCGTCTTTCAGTCGTGCTCACTCAGCCCAGGCCAGCAGGGTGGTGGGCAAGTGGCAGCTCCCAGGAAATCTGCCTCCCAGCCCTCATTCCAGGGACTAGCTGGACACATTGGCTCGTCCTTCCCAGCCCTAAAAGCTCTAAAAGAGCCCCTTGCCCTTGGCCAGAGGGAGTTCCTGGGCCGGGAGAGGGCACTGGGTTCTGCTTTCTGTGTGACCCTGGCACACGAGCTTGTCTGAGACTCAGATTCCTCATCAATCAAGTGGCATAAAAACCGTTCCCACCTCCAAGGGTATGGGGCAGGGCTCGGCACAGGTTCAGAACATGGGGTCATAAGGGTGGGTGCTTGATTCTTACAGCGAGAGGTTCTTGTGGGTAACACACCGTGCTGGCATCAGTGTGGATGTTGGTTTGCAGGGATCGGCTTTGGGGACCGGACGAGCACCTTCTGTGGCACCCCGGAGTTCCTGGCCCCTGAGGTGCTGACCCAGGAGGCCTATACGCGGGCTGTGGACTGGTGGGGGCTGGGCGTGCTGCTCTACGAGATGCTGGTGGGCGAGGTGAGTGCTGGACGGGGTGCTGGTGGGGCCTCCAGGTCAGGTGGGGGTGGGGGTGGCCCACGTACCCTGCTGAGCCCCATCCCTGCAGTGCCCGTTTCCAGGGGACACCGAGGAGGAGGTGTTTGACTGCATCGTCAATGCAGAAGCCCCATACCCGCGCTTTCTGTCGGTGCAAGGGCTTGAGCTCATTCAGAAGGTAATCGCAGGGACCTCCCCGGTGGTCCAGTGGTTAAGACTCTGCACTTCCACTGCAGGGGGCACGGGTTCGATCCCTGGTCGGGGAAACTAAAATCCCGCAAGCTGCGTGGCGCATCCCCCAAAAAACAAAACAAAACAAACTCTTTAAAAAAAAAAAAAAAGAAGGGTCCAGGGCTGGGCCGACAGCTGCTCGTGGCTCAGGGATCCCTACCTGAGAGGCTGGAGAGGGGGAGGCGGGCAGTGCCTGGGGCCCGAACACCCTGAATGAGCACCTGTCCTCTCCCCCAGCTCCTCCAGAAGTGCCCCGAGAAGCGCCTGGGGGCAGGGGAGCGGGATGCTGAGGAGATCAAGACACAGCCTTTCTTCAGGGTGAGTGGCCAGGGCCGCAGTGGTCCAGGAGCCTGGCACAGTGGGAGGCATCGAGGGCCCGCGGGGCTGCCACTCCCGTCGTCTGAGGCACCTCTACCCTTGCCCCCAGACCACCGACTGGCAGGCCCTGCTCGCCCGAGCCGTCCGGCCCCCGTTTGTGCCTACCCTCTGCGGCCCCACAGACCTGCGCTACTTCGAGGGCGAGTTCACGGGGCTGCCGCCTGCCCTGACGCCGCCTGATGCCCGCAGCCCCCTCACCGCCCGCCAACAGGCTGCCTTCCGGGACTTCGACTTTGTGTCCCAGCGATTCCTGGAGCCCTGAGGGCCTCCCGGGCTCTCTACCCCCTGCACCCCCGACGGTTGGAGCCTCTGCTTGCCCGCCTTTCTGCCCGCCTGGGCGCCCTGGTATTGATGAGCCCTTGGGACTCAAGGTGGCGGCCACGGGCTGCTGTCGTGGGCTTTGCTCAGTCACCGGGCAAAGTGCTGCCTCCCCTCCCTTCTCCTGACCACCTCTCCCCTGCCCGTTGCAAGACCTGGACCCGAAAGGGAGGCACAGCGAGGAGCGGTTTGGTTTGTTTTTTTGAATACTTGACTTGCTTTATGGATTATTAAATTTATAAAACTGTGCACTGGAGGCAGCCTGGCTTGGGGTGGGGAGGGTGGAAGTCTCCACAACCCAGGTCCTTGGTGCCTGAGCCCCCCATGGGTCCTCTTCCTCCTCTTCTGCCTTTGAGGCAGGGTTCTGTCCTTCAGCTCCACCCTGAGGCCTGGAAGGAGTGGGCAGCAGTGAGGAGGTCCAGGCCCTCGGAGCGCTGACGCCCCCGGGTGCAGCCCCTCTGGTTTTCAGGCACAAGACGGTGGCCCGGCCTCTAGCAACCCTAAACATCCTGGCTGCTGCCTTCCTCGTCCTCAGCCCAGAGGGTCTCCCAGGACCCCGAGGGCCATCCACAGAAGAAGTGGGCCAGGTTTCGGGTCAGGCCGCGGTCGAAGGGGTTGCCGGGGCGCTGGCGGAGGTAGGCGATACGGTGTGAGGAGATGAACTCCCAGGTGGTGGTGTTGCTGGCCACCAGGTAGAGGTGCGAGGCCAAGAGCAGGCTGGCCACTAGGGAGAAGAGCGACAGCAGCAGGAAGGTGGCAAACAGGAGCCCACTGGACCGCAGCCAGAGCCCCCAAGGCCGGAAGAAGCGGAGGCCAGACCTGCAGGGAAGGAGGGGGACAGGGACCCAGAGCTGGCGGGTGTGTGGGTGGCAGCTTTGCCCCAGGGACCCCAGGTGGGCCGGCCATTTGGGAGAGGGTCCGAGGCCCCTGAAGAGGGAGCCTGGCTCTCTCCACACCTGGTGGGTGCCTGCTGCCTGCCCCCCCACCCACCCACCCAGGGCGCTGGGGGAACCCACCATGCCAGGTACAGGCCCCACAGAAGCACCACCAGCTGCAGCGCCAGGTAGGCCACGAACAGTGGGTGATTGCGCTCCCCCACGCAGTTCTCCATCCAGGGGCAGTGGTGGTCATATCGGCGGACACAACGACGGCACTCACGGCAGTGACGGGCCCGCAGGGGTTGCTGTGGGCACACAGGGAGTCAGGCCTCAACACTGGCTCCCTTCTGGACCCGACAATGTGGGCGGGAGGTCAGGGCTGACATCTGGGAGGCCTTCCTGGAGGAGGGATGAGGCCAAGGAGTCTCAATCTTGCCCGACCCTCCCACGGAGGTCCCTGCGTCACCCACCAGCACCATGCAGTGTCTGCAGCGCCGAAGGGGGATGGCCTGAGGAACCATGGCTGTCTGCTCTTCCTTGGCCTCCTCCTGAAAATGGGGGGACACAGTATGAGATGGGGTTCCCTTGGGAGGCAGAGGGCACTGGTGGGTAGCTCCCTTGGGGGCCAGCTTAACTCTGGGTGTGCACGTTTGGGGATCCATCCCCTGTGTAATGGAGGTGGTAGAGTGGGGGCAGAGTGCCCTGGATGGCGAGGCTGTGTGACCTTTGCCAGTTACTTCCCCTCTCTGGGTCTTGGCAATTTCCTCATTGTAGGATGGGGCTCTAGGTCTGGCAAGACGATTCCCTAGGATTCCCTAGGAAAGCCCTCAGCACAGGGTCTAGCATGAGATTGTTACTGGGGCCTTGAGTTCCCTGTTGGCGGGGGAGGAGATGTTTGGGAACCCTGGTTACCTGGGGCTGGGGCAGGACATTCACGTATCCCGGGTCCATGAGTGACACAGCCAGGTAAAGCAGCAGGGAGCCCAGTACCAAGAGCAGGAAGGTGAGGGGCACGAGCAGCTCCCCCTGCTCTTCCCACTGCCGCAGCGCTGGAGAGGCCAGAGGGGGAGAGTGAGGCTGCGGTGACAGAACAGGAGGGTGCAGGTGAGGGGTGCAGCTGGAGGGGGGAAGTGTGTCCCTGGCTGAGGGAAGGCCTGGAGATGGAGTTTGAAGAATGGTCAGGTGTGGCCACTGCATAAGGGTGCAGGAGGGAGAAGTTCATGTTCAGCAAAAAAAAAAAAAAAGCAGTTCATCTACACTCTCTCTGGAGCGCACTAGAGAACCATGGAAGGTTATAGGGTCAGATATGTTTCTGAAAGCCCTCTTACTGCTAGAGAAAAGATGGATCAGAGGGGAGGCTTATCTGGGACACGGAGCGGAGCGTGTCTGGACAAGGGCAGTGGCAGGAAGGGTGGAGAAGAGGGGATGGACGGGGGTAAGGAGGCTGATGGGGCCAGACTTGGCTGGATGTGGGGGAGAGGGAGGAGGGGACTGGCTCTGAGATGCGGAGAGGCTGGCCAGGTCCAAGATGCCCAAGAGACAGAGGAGGGCAGGGTCGGCAGGCTGGCTGGGATGCTGCAGAGGGACAACAGGGGAGCCCAGGCCAGGAAGGGTCCAGCCCATGGAGGTGACTGAAGGATTTTGGGAGGCAGGGGGCTGAAGAGCGAGGGGCAGGAGACGGCCAGACAGCCGAGTGTGGCCAACTCTGGTCCCCCTTGACTGTAAAAGGGAGCGGAGAAGGAAGGGGGGTTGCACTGAGGGGGGGTTCTTTCTGATGGGGAGACTGAGCAGGTTTTTAGGCTAAGGGGCAGAGGCAGTGGAGGAGACTTGAGGTCTTGGGAGAAAAGTGAGAACGCCCCCGGTCTGGGGTTTTATGCTGGAGCAAGGAGGGATGATGAGTGGGGGCTGTGATGGTGGTAGTGAGGGAGGGTGAAAACTTGTGCTGGAGGTGGCCACGGAGGTGGCCTGTGGTGGGTAAAGAGGGGGAAGGGTGGAAGGGGGTTGATGGGATGAATGAATGCTACCAGGGCGAGAATCAAGGATGAGGACGTGAGGGACAGGCTGCTCCCCTATGCGGTGTTCTCTTGCCTGAGGCTGGGGAGCCTGGACTTGGGCAGCTAGTGGCCACAGGGCTGGGCGGGATGCCAGTCCTTCATCTAGTTGATCCTCGGAATCTTGGGAGTCAATTCCTGGGAAGGGTCGGGCGGGTCCCAGGATCAGGGGAGAAGGGGGCTCGAGTCGGTCGTCGGATCTGGGGCACCGGGTGGGTCCTGGGACAGACAGGGTATCTGGCAGGGATCAGGAAGATTCTGGAATTAATTAGAGATCAACTGGGTATTAGGCAGAAAGCAGGTGGCTCTTGGAATGAGAGATGGGGAGGGGGCCTCAGGATGTGGAGGAGATTGGGTGAATCCCAGGATCTCTTGGGCTTCGGCAAGGGACTCAGTGAGACCCAGACATCTAGGGAATCATGCGGGATCGGGGGGGGTCCAGGGTCGCGCGGGGTCCGGCTCACCGGTATCATGCAGGAAGAGCACCAGCGTGATCCCCCAGGTCAGGACGGTGTGCCCGGTCCGCACCAGGACCCCAGGCCTGAGCAGCGCCCACGGCGCCATCGCCTCTGCCCGGGGCCCCACCCGGAAGAAGCGCTCAGAGGGGCGGGCCCTCCGAGGGAGAGGACCCACCGCCACCCGGGGATTGGAGGAGGCAGGCTGTGGGCGTGGCCGAATTGGGTGACGGAGACTGCCTATTGGACGGTAGCTGCGGCCGAGTAGGCCCTCGAGCCCACAGGTGCCTGAAGAGGCTGAGGGCGGGGCCGGCGCGCGCGCAGCCGGTAACTCCCCCACCCCCACCCCCCACCAGACAGGTAACTTTCGAAAGCCGGGGAGCCGTCGGGAGCCTCGACCCAGCCCCACTGGGGTTCCACCACCAGCCCCAGGGCCACAGCCTAACGCATGCGTACAGCTTCCTGGACGCTTCAAAGATCCAGGTGTTGTGACTTCAGGTTGCAGAATTGTGCGCGGTTCGGAGATGTGACGCCTGAGGCCTCGAGAGGGGCAGGACTCGCCCAAGGTTGCGCCGTGGTGATACCCTTACCTCCTATTCATTTTCAGATATTGCAGATGGGATGAGAGCAGAGTGGAGGTACGTGGTGCAAGTCTGACTCTGACTTGGGTCAGAGTCAGAAATCCCAGCACTGCCTCTTCCTACCTGTATGAGTTTGGGCAAGTTACTGAACCACTGCGAGCTCTGTTTTCTGTCTGTGTAATGGAGATGATAATAGTACCCCCCTGCTGAGGTGGTTGGAGGACTCAATAATGGAAATAAGAGTGTCTAGCACAGGACTGTCTTGTCTCCCCGGCTCTAAGCCAGCACCTACACCCTTCAGCCTTGCCCAACCCAGGGCTTCAGGCCAGGGAAGTCCCAGTGCAGCTTTGATTTGTATAGAGGTGACTGGGTATTTTAAAGGGAGAATGAGGGAGTTGAGATGGGGAAGGGCAGGGGCTTGAAGAGACTCAGAGCAGTGAAAAATGACAAACAGTGGGTCAGGGTAAATGCTGATTGGGCCAGCTGTGTCTGCTATCTGGCAATAATTGAAGTTCAGCTTCTATCCTCCCACAGAGACTGGGAGACAGAGGCCGGATCCTTCCTGATGACTACATTTTAAAGGGATGGCTATCAGGTCCTTGAGAAAGACACTCCTGAGTTGTAGGAGGTACAAATACACCTCAGAGGGACAGAGAAAGCATTCACAATTGTGAGCCCTTTTTAGTAAACGCTCTAAGAAAGGGTGGTCAGGGGCCTGTGGTCAGGTGTTGGTTAAAAACAGTAAATTCTTTTGGCAGCCTGGAGCTTTCTCAGGCAGGCACATTAAGGGGGGGCTAGGGTCATCCTAGGGATGTGACCTTGAGCTGTTAGAAGCTATGTTAGTGTTTAAGTCTTTTAATGTCAGAGGTGGGAGTGAATGAAATCACTTGCGCTGAAGTCTGTAGTTGTTTGGTTTTTTTGCGGTACACGGGCCTCTCACTGTCGCGGCCTCTCCCGTTGCGGAGCACAGGCTCCGGACGCGTAGGCTCAGTGGCCATGGCTCACGGGCCCAGCCGCTCCGCGGCATGTGGGATCCTCCCGGACCAGGGCACGAACCCGTGTCCCCCGCATCGGCAGGCGGACTCTCAACCACTGCGCCACCAGGGAAGCCCTGAAGTCTGTAGTTTTTATAGGCCAAGGTTGAGGCCTAGTGGAGAAGAGGGCTTGGAGCCTGGCTACAGTTTGGTCTAGGAGAGGGCCTTTGTCACTGGGCACTGGGGCACACCGCCTGGCACGTTTGGGAATGGTCCCACTTGATCTGGGACCAGCACCTAGACTGTTGCTTGGGGAAGAGCTCTCCCTCATCGGGTGCCGCCTCAGTAGGGCTTCAGGGGCACGGAAGTCACTGCTGATAGCTACACTGGGACAACGGGTGTAAACCAGGACCATCCTAGGCCAAAGCTGAGTCATCTCAGGATTTGGCCCCGGCTCCTTCATCCCCTCCTGCTGGCGCCCTCGCCCTCCACTCTGCTGCAGCCACGTGGGCGGCTTCGTGGTTCTCCCTGCGAGGTCTTCTCCTGGCAGGGCCCTCTGCCCAGGACACTCTTTCCCTGGACCCCTACAGCCAGGCCTGGCAGCCCGGTCTTTCTGCTGGATTCAGCTCGCATGTCTCCGCTTGTGAGAAGCCTCCCCTGCCCAGGATACCACGCTGTCCCTTATCTGCACGTATGCTCTTCCGTCTCCCTAAGGGGCTGTGGCCCAGCTAACTCCAGTCTCTGCTGCACACTCCCACCGGCCCACAGGAGGGGCCTGCTCTGTGCTCCCTTCTCCCTGCTCCTCACACACTGGGTCATAATCTCATATTTAACATTTGTCTCTACCATCAGACAGCCATTCTGGGTGGGGGCCCTGTTGGTCTGTTGCCAGCTGTACCCTCAGTGTCTGGGCACAGCGGTGTGGAGAGACTGCAGAGGAAAAACAGGTGCTCCAGCCCGATCTGCCACCTGTCCCCAGTCTGCAGTTGACCCTCTGGGCTGGGCACACAAACTGACCCAACGCACCCTCACTCAAGGCGCACTGCCTGAGCCAGCCCAGGGCCCTCTCCAGACCCCATCCCTTCCACAAAAAAAGACACTCTGCTCCACTTTGCACAAAAATGTATTTCTGTGACATCCCAAAGTACAGACATTTACCCAGGCCCCAGGTGGTAATGCAATGCAATGTGAGCTCTGCCCGGGGCCTGGCTCAGGCCACGTGAGCATGGAAGGGAGGGGCAGATGTGGCCCATCTGCTAAGCTGAGGGACACAGGGCAGCTGGCCCTTCCCACAGCTGGGAGCGAAAGACCCCAGGGGAGAAAGGCCAGGTGCCTCTCCCCTGGGCTGCTCATCCAGACCACTCTGTCTGCAGGCAGAAACACCAGGAGAATCCAAAAACAGGCCCAGGGAAGGAGGAGGGAAGAAAAGCCACCCCCCAGGGGCCACCTGCAGAGTCAGCTCTGCTCCCCAGCCCTTGTTCCAGAGGGGCCTCCTCACCACCGTCTGTGCCATGAGAAGCAATTCGGAGTGACATCAAGGGAGGACCACAAGATATTTCAAGATACGTTTGTGTCTCACACTTCTCTGAAACAACAGCACGGAGGTTCCCGAGGGAAAGCCTGGGGTCAGTATGGGAGGGGCGCGGGAAGGGCCCCGGAGGGCTGGGCAGGGCCGCTGCAGGATGTGCCAAATGCTGGTCTGGAGGTGTCTGCCTGTTGCCACCGGGAAAGGCTGGCTTGGGGACCTCCTGCCTGTGAGAGAGGTGTGGGGTCCTCTGGGCAGCGGGGCAGGCAGGGGCGAGTGAGGCAGGCTCAGTTCTGCTGGTGGGGTGCCTGGGCACCGTGGGTGCTGCGGGCAGATGAGGGGTAGGGGGTGAGGGGAAAAAGCCCCTGGCCCCAGGAGGTGCTGGCTTCCAGGGTGGGGGGGCAGGTTCTGGATATGTTTGGCAGAAGGGGCAGTGGAATCTGCCTGAATTCTGACCAGCCCTGGGCTGGGGCCTTCGACAGCCTGGGACCTGGTGGGAGACTAGGAGGCAGCCTCCATAGCAGCGTGGCCTCAGGCAGGCCTGGCCAGAGGGCAGCAGAGCCACTGTGAGCTCCACTCCTCGAGGGCCCTCTGGGGCTGGGACTGCCTGGACCTAGGCAGGCACGGCTTACTTGCTCGCCCCAGAGGCCCACAGCCGAGAGCACCAAGGCATTTGGGAGACCCAGTGGGGTTAGTTGTAATCTCCAAACCCCATCAGCTGCACCCAGGAACCTAGAGGGCGCCCTCAGGCTTTGGTGGGCGGGTTAGGGTGCTGGAGTGGGCTATCGAAAGCCCACTGCCTCTCCCAACAGGAAGGGAGGCCAAGGTCAGAGGCTATAGGGCGAGGGCTGGACACTCACAATGTTACAGGCATTTAGTCTGGCAGGCGTAGGAGTGAGTGTGGCAGCGATGAAGGCTTTGAGTTGGGGCTTGAGAATGGCCGAGGAAGCTGCGAGGACTCAGGAGTGTTTCTTTTGTTTTTGTACAGAAATCATACACACAAAACTTCACACTTCCTAACCAAAAAAAAATAATATATATATAATATATATATATTATATATATATAATATATATATATCTCACTAATGTTAAGGAAAAGCGTCGGTTGTGCAAAAGTCCCCCTGTGTCCCTTCATCCAGTGGGAGGCTCCCCGGGTGGGGATCTGCCAGCTGGGCTGCTTGAGAGTGCTTCCTCCCAGCCTCGTGGTCCAGAGCAGTGGCGGCCGTGGGGGCAGAGGCCTCTATCTGGATGTATCCATGTTCTCCTCTTTAAAGTTACTGCAGTGCTCAATCACCTTGCTGGAGACAATGAGAGAAAGAGGATTGGAGGGTGGGCTCGGGTTGGGGTGGACCCAGCCCCTCCCAGCTGATCAGGCTGCTGGATTTGTTAGCCAACGTTAACCATGATGTTGACGCTGAATGAGATGAAGTGTACAAAGTGGTGGGCAGAGTGGCCAGCATGTGCGGGGTGCCCAGGAAATGGTACTTGTGGCCACGAATGCCATCAGCCCCGCGTGCTCCCCTCCTACTTCCCCAGGCCCCCTTTCCCACCTCTCAGTGCCTGGGCATCTGTGGTTAGGGGCTTCCCTGAATCAGCTCAGGCCTAACCTCCAAAACCTTCTGGTCTTTTTTTCAGCAACATCTTCCTTCTTCACCTTTTCCCTGTACACCCAGGCCTTTTTCTTCCCCAAAGTCTACTGGTGGTCCCCAAACTGGCTGCGCATCAGATTCACCCAGAGATCCTGATCCAGCAGCAGGTCCGGGTAGGGCTAGGGCAGCTGTGCTTGCACAAGTACAAGGGCCCGACACCCTGCAGCGGCCAAGTCCCCGTGCAGCGTTTGGGAATCACCCCTCATGCTCAGATCTCGAGTCTGTCTCCCACTCTAGTCTGGCCCTTGGGAACCGCCGTCAGGTGTCACCCTGAACCCTGCACGGCCTTCCCGTTCACACTAAGCCTCTGGGTTGGTGGCGGGTGTGTGTGTGTGTGTGTGTGTGTGTGTATGTGTTCACTGCAGCCTCCATGTGCTAAAGAGGTGCCTCAAT